TCCCACATGGGTGCAGGGTCTCAAAGACTTGGGTCATCTTCTGCTGCTTTCCCAGTCTGCAGCAGGAAGCTGGATCAGAAGTGAAACAGCCTAGATAGAACCAGCTCCCTTCTGCGATGTCAGCACCACAGGACAGATTAGCCTCTTGCATAACCTTGCTGGCCCCTCAACTTTTTAAAATCTCTAAAAAGTTCAATGAAAACTTGTTTTTAGGGGGCAAGATAATCTACCTGCAATGCCACCAATCCATATAAGGGCTGTTTCAAGTCATGTGTGCTCCACTTCTGATCCGGCTCCAGGCCTTTAGCAGCTGAATCGTTGGGAGCCCACTGCAGATCCTGCATCTTCTATCACCGGCTCCACTTCCAGTTCAAGCTTCCTGCTGTTGTGCACCCTTGGTGGCAGCAATGATGACGCAAGCACTTGGGTCTCTGCCACTCATATGAAAAATACAGATTGAGTTCTGTTTTCCTGGCTTCAGTCTGGCCCAGCCTCTGCTGGTGGAGCTAGGGGAGGAGTGAGCCAGCAGATGGGTCAGCCCCGTCTCCTAGTCTCTGTCACTCTATCTCTCTGCCTTCCACATAAAATTTTTTAAATGTGGGGCTCAGCACAATGACTCAGTGGCTAATCCTCTCTTTGCACGCACTGGGATCCTGTATGAGCGTCCGTTCTAGTCCCAGCTGCTCTACTTCCCATTAAGCTCTTGACTATGGCCTGGAAAAGCAGTACAGGATGGCCCAAAGCCTTAGGACCCTGCACCTACATTGGAGATCCAGAAGAAGTTCCTGGCTCTTGGTTTTGGATCAGCTGAGCTCTGGCTGTTATGGCCACTTGGGGAGTAAATCGGCACATAGAAGACCTTCTCTATATTTCCTCTTCATTTGGGCGGTGGACAGAAGATGTTTCTCTCTGTCTCACCTTCTTTCTGTAACTCTGCCTTTCCAACAAAAATAAATAAGTCTTTGTTTAAAAACAAAACAAAACAAAATAAAACATAAAATCAATCAATAAATTAAAATAGTTAAGAGGTAGGGAGGTCTGTGTATTTTTGGGGGGAAGCCTGATGCAGTTGCCTGCCTTGGGGAAACGTGGGGCTACGAGGGTGGGTCAATCCTGGGGTCCACAGTGCTGAGAGGGGGGCTGGGCCCAGCAGCGGCTTCTGTGGCAAGGGAAGACTTTGCTGTGATGGAGAGTGAGGGGCTTCCCTCCCTCCCTGCATTCCTGCCTTTTCAGCCTGTACCCCTCTGTGCTTTGAAATGCATCCAAGTTCATTTCACCCGGATTCACTTCCACCCAGGGCTCCTTTCCTCCTGACCGGAGAGGTCCAAGGTTCCCCACAGGGTCTTGCTTGGTTCCTTCATCCTTTAACCTTGTTCTTTCTCTGTATAAAAGGCAAGGGAAAGAGCAAGAAGGCCGTGGTCACAGCTGGGTGGAGACACACCAGAGCCAGGAAGTGGCTGAAAGTTTTCCATCATTATCATCACAGTCGCTGAGTATGTTGACTGGGCACTTACCCTGGGCCAGGCCCCTGTGAATTAGTTACCATGCGTCCTCTCCTGCAACATGCAAGAAACATCCCTGCGGCTGCCCAGGTTTCACAGGCAGCCAGCAGTCAAGCGGTCCCCTCCTGCCTCATGCCTCATGCCTTTAGAGATGTGCTTGGCAACCCTAAGGTGGATCCTCCTAATCTGCTTCCTGGTTCACACAACCCTTTGTCCCCAGCCCTGACATGCGACCCCCTCCCAGAGGCACAGGAACCTCTTAACCTGTGTCTCACTCACATACAAGCCCCAACACCCTTCCACCTGGGGCCTCTTGTCCCTACCTGCTGGAATAACCCTCACTGGAGACTGAGCCAAGGCACCTTCCAGTGAGCTCATCTGTTCCCCTGTAAAGGAGAAAGAGCTTTTTGCTTGTTTATTTGCTTCTGCCATTCTCCTGGCACACGCAAGCACCAGGGCTTCCCACAACTCTGTGGGAGAGGTGTGCCCTGGGGCAGATGTTGAAAGGTAAGAACGGGTTAAATGCCATTTCCAGGGAGGCGAGCAGGCAGAGCCTGAACTTGGCCTCTAGCCTGGAACCCCAGCACTGCCTCCAGCACTTCTTGTATTAGATTGTCTCATATCTAGTCCTGCCCCCATACCTCCAAAGATGGCAGGCCCTGGAGCCCAAAGACGCATTTCACATTTCATCTCTCCCCCAACCTCTTTTTAAAAATCTGTATTTATTTTTAATAAACCTTTTTAAAAAAGTTTTATTTATTTTTATTGAAAAGTCAGCTATACAAAGAAGAAGAAAGACAGAGAGGAAGATCTTTCATCCACTGATCCACTCTCCAAGGGACCACAATGGCCAGAGCTGAGCCGATCCGATCCCTGGAGCCAGGAGCTTCTTCCAGATCTCCCACTTGGGTGCAGAGTCCCAAGGCTTTGGGCCATCCTCGACTGCTTTGCCAGGCTACAGGCAAACAGCTAGATGAAAAGTGGGGCAGCCCAGACACAAACTGGCACACATGTGATCCTGGCACATACAAGGCCAGGATTTAGCCACTGAGCCATTGTGCCACACACTTTCCCTTGCTCTCTTTTTAAAGATGTATTTTGATTGATTTGAAGTCTGAGTTACACTGATAGAGGACAAGACAGAGATCTTCCTTCTGCTGGTTCATTCCCCCACTGGCCACAACAGCCAGAGCTTGGTCAGGCCAAAGCCAGGAGTCTGGACTATTCTCTGGGTCTTTCACATGGGTACAGGGAACCAAGCACTTGTGCCATCCTCTGCTGCTTTTCTAGGCACATTAGCAAGGAGTTGAATCAGAAGTGGAGCAGCCAGGGCCTGAGCTGGTACCCATAGAGGAGTAATGCCAGTACTGAAGGCAGCAACTTTACCTGATATGCTACAAAGCCAGCTCCCATTTCAAACCTTTATTGAAACTGCCCTATTCACGTAATCATGTGACTATTCTCCTGGATGGGTATAATGAACTTAACTGTAACTGAGATGGCTTTGCCTTTTGATCACTGGTTTTTCCTCTTCATTGATCCCACTTTCACCCCAAGTAGCCTTTTCCCCCTTCCTTTTGTTGGCTTCTGCGGCTAGGCTCGGCGTGTACCTATGGAACTTCTGAGAGCAGACAGCCTGAAAAGGGCGGGATAAAAATAGCCAGTTTAGTCGATAACAGAATGGGAAAGTATTGAAGTCGGGAGAGCCAAGGCCCCGTACGGGAAGAGGCAAGGTGGCCAGACAGCGTACATCTTTGTGACAGTGGGGCTGGCTTTGAGTGGCAGTGCAGGTGGTTGGTAGTGACAAGGAGGGCACAGTCCTGCAGGGGTTCTGTTGTGGCCGGTGCCTATCCCAAGGCTCGCCTACTGGACATTCTGCAGATTGTGGAGTGAGCCACCTCCTTCAGGCTGGCTGGTTTCCAGAAGCCTCTCTGCCACCACGCCTCCTCCAGCACTTGCTGTTTTTGTTGCTCAGGCTCTTTGTGGCAGGTATTGATTGTTGCTTTTCCTGGGACTCAGGGCACCAAAATTACAAATCATCACATGGGGCTGTTGCAGAGAGACACACACCCACTGGGTCCCTCCCGGGGCTGGGAGAACACCTACTTGCAGACCCCAACAGTCACCCTCACAACTGCTTTTCTCAGCACACCTCTGCAACGATTGTACCTGGGCGTGCCTGCCTCCTTCTCAGTCCACACACCCGGATGCTTGGCGCTCCCTTCACAGCTGCTGATTGACACTGAGGCAGGACTGTCCAAGAGGGCAGTCAGCTCATTTCCACAGGCAGCTGCCCAGGCTAGCCAGTCACCGTGATCTGGGACTCGGGTTTGGTCCCCAGAAGGGCAGGCAGTGGAGCTACAGCTATGACACTGCCTGAACACTCCCAGAGCTGTCCTGCCCTGACCCCTCAGGTTTAACCAAGGGTAACTGTAATGCAGGTGGAGAACGTCGCTTGAGATCCCAACCTGAACCGAACCGGACATGTGCCTCGGACGGGGGTAATCCTTGCTCCCTCTTAGGGTCGTGGGAGGAGATGAATACTAGCAGTGGTTTCCTTGTTTCTTGGTTATGTTGTGTCAACAGCAGTGCTCCAGGGCCTTTGGCCAATTCAGAGCCTAGAACATGCGCCGGAGGTACAGGTGCTCTATCGAGACTTGTGTCTAAAAATGGAGATGATAGGAGATAAGCCGTGACCTGGCGCCTCTTGAACCGCAGTTCCCAAAATCTGCAGGTTCTACCGGGCAGCCACCGGCCAGCGTCGGCGAGAGGCTGGGAATGGGGGCCGGGGGACTTAGTTCTGGCTTTGGGATAAGGTCGGCAAAAACTCCAGAAGTGAGGAGGGGGGCCTCGAAAGTCTCCCGGGGGGAGCGGGCAGACTGCAAGCCCCACGTCGAGTCCTGCAGTTCCCTTTTTCTAAATCAGGAAATACATTCCCTCCCCGCACCCTCCTTCGTGCCAATTTAGGGCCACAGGGTCCGCCCCACCCCCCAGCCACCCTCCACCCCGAACCCAGCTGTAGACTGCTGGGAGCCGAGCACGCGCGGCGGGACGTGTGACCGCTCGGCCCCGGGGCGACGAGCTGCGGGAAAGGCGGCGAGGGGCACCAGGAACGGAAGGGCGTGCAAGGGCGCGGAGCCGGAAGGAGGGGCGCACGGCGGCCCCGCGGCTCCCGCGCTCCCCTCGCCGCTCCACCTTAAGCGCCGGGACCCCCTTAAGGGCCGGAGCCCCAACCGCGCGCTCGCAGGGGCGGGGCCTCGCATGCAAATAAGGGGCGTGGGCCTGCGGGGGCGGGGCTTGCGGGCGTGGCCGGCGGGGCGGGGCTGCGGGCGGGGCGGGGCCGGCGGGGCGCTGACCTGACGTCAGCCCCGCGGCCCGGGCAGTTGGCTCGGCGGCGGCGGAGCGGCAGGAGCGGCGGCGCTGAGCGGGGCCGCGCGGGGCTGCGGGGCGGCGGGGCGCGGGCGGCGGCGGCGGCGGCGGCGGCAGAGCAGGAGCAACATGGCGCCGGTGGGTGGGGGCGGGCACCCGGGCGGCGGGCCGGCCCGAGGGCGCCTCCTCCTGGCAGCGCTGGCGCTGCCGGTGCTGCTGTGGGCGCGGGGGGCCCGGGGCCAGGGCACCCCGCCGCGGGGCACGATCCTGGGCATGAGGCTGGCGAGCTGCAACAAGTCGTGTGGGATGGACGAGAACGGCATCATCTTCGTGTCCGAGGGCAGCACGGTGAACCTGCGGCTGTATGGACAGAGCCTGGGTGAAGTCTCCAGCAACCTGATCTCCTTCACCGAGGTGGACAACGCTGAGGCCGCCCGCAACTCCACTAACTGCCTGGAGCTCACCAAGGACCTGGTGGTCCAGAAGCTGGTCAACGTGAGCCGCGGGAACACGTCCGGGATGCTCGTGGTGCTTACCAAGTTCCTGCGGCGCAGCGAGAACATGAAGCTGTACGCGCTGTGCACCCGGACCCACGCCGGGGAACCCTGGGTCAAGTGGACCGACAAGGACTCTCTGCTCTTTATGGTGGAGGAGACCGGGAGGCTCCTGCCCCTCTGGCTGCACATCTTGCTCATCACGGTGCTGTTGGTGCTGTCGGGGATCTTTTCGGGCCTCAACCTGGGCCTCATGGCCCTGGACCCCATGGAACTGCGCATTGTGCAGAACTGCGGCACTGACAAGGAGAAGCGCTACGCGCGCAAGATCGAGCCCATCCGGCGCAAAGGCAACTACCTGCTGTGCTCGCTGCTCCTGGGCAACGTCCTGGTCAACACCTCCCTCACCATCCTCCTGGACAACCTCATCGGCTCGGGCCTCATGGCGGTGGCCTCTTCCACCATTGGCATCGTCATCTTTGGCGAGATCTTACCTCAGGCCCTGTGCTCCCGGCATGGGCTGGCCGTGGGCGCCAACACCATCATCCTCACCAAATGCTTCATGTTCCTCACCTTCCCCCTCAGCTACCCCATCAGCAAGCTCCTGGACTTCTTCCTGGGCCAGGAGATCCGCACGGTCTACAACCGGGAGAAGCTGATGGAGATGTTGAAGGTGACGGAACCCTACAACGACCTGGTCAAGGAAGAGCTCAACATGATCCAGGGGGCCCTGGAGCTGCGCACCAAGACGGTGGAGGACATCATGACGCAGCTCCAGGACTGCTTCATGATCCGCAGCGACGCCATCCTGGACTTCAACACCATGTCCGAGATCATGGAGAGCGGGTATACCCGCATCCCCGTGTACGAGGACGAGCAGTCCAACATCGTGGACATCCTCTACGTCAAGGACCTGGCCTTCGTGGACCCCGATGACTGCACCCCCCTCAAGACCATCACCCGCTTCTATAACCACCCGGTGCACTTCGTCTTCCACGACACCAAGCTGGATGCCATGCTGGAGGAGTTCAAGAAGGGTAAGGACCGCCGGGCACCTCCTCCGTGATGCCCCCCAGCTTCGGCTGTTTCGTTGTCTGCCCGGCGTAGTGTCCCTCTGCTGCTAGAGTCATCTCTGTGTCCCACCCCCTCCCCACATACACACCCTGAGGGGAATGGTGATTGCAGTGCTGTCTGCTGTCTGCCAGGTACTGTGCTTTGTTCTTCGGATGAATCAGAACTGAATTAAGACACGCTTGCTTGCTTGGAGGAGTAGAGTGAGGCCTTGGGGAGCTATTGAAGCAGAACAGAATAAGGCAAGTGCCCGCAAAGGGGCCAGCACCAGGACGATGGAGGTGTAGAGGGTGGGGTGGGGTAGACTGGGGGCAGCGGGGAAACAATCCTAAGGGAAGGGCAGCCTAGAGTGATGGAGAGACTTGGCACTTGAGGCAGAGACCCCTCCCACCCTACCCCCAGCCCCACAGCTAGCCCTGGCTTGGCCCCTGGCCCCTGGCCCCTGGGATGGAGAAGCTGAAGGTGCTCTGGGGTCCATAGCAAGTGGTCTGTTGATGAGTGGACTGGTGATGTCATGGGGGGGTGGGAAGGCTAGGGACTTGTGTGGACACTGAGTTAGTTCTGAGCCCAGAGCTGTAGCAGAAGGGATGATGTCACTGGGACAGCCAGCGCACGGAAGCGGAGCTGGGAGGACTCTCCTCGGCTCCCTGCACACAACGCCAAGGAACGCTTTCCACTGTTCAGCAGAAGCAAACCGATTAAGCTTTGGTTATTGTTCTGTCTTTGCCCGGCGCCAAACATAAGCTTGCCTGCTGTGGGTGTCTTGGAGTTTTCAGCCAGTCTCGCATGGCCTGGTGGTGGTTTTTTAAATTTTTTCCCTCACATGGGTTTTTGGCCAGTTCTCAAGTAGTTAGCAAGGCGCTGGGAGAGGTTACTCACCAGCCACACAGCTCAAGGCACACTCCCCTTTCCCTACTTCCCACAGAAGTTTCCTCCCACCCCTGCCGCTCAGAAGTCCTGGGAATGGCCGTAAACAAACCAATTACCCAGGCCAAAACCCCCTGCTCGGCATAGTGAGTGGGAGGCAGAGAAGGAAGATATTCAGAAATGAATGGGGGAGCTTGTGATCAGCCTATAGACTTGGCCTTTGGGAAGGAGGTCTGCCACTGTTTCTTTTCCCCAGGGGCAGAGCTACTGGCCCAGCTGTCTGTCAGTCAGACAGGCAGTTTTAGGGACTGGGATTCCCTATTGAACTGCAGCTGGGGGCAAGCTGGCAGTCATCTCTAGAGCAGAGCATGAAAGGCAGCTTGGAGTGGTCCAGGGTGGAAGGGACTGGCTTTGCCAGGTGTGATCTGAGAAGATGCCCGTGGGACAAGGTGAGGATGCTCAGGTGGCAGCTTCCATTTCTGCCGGGTGCCTCTCGGCCTGCGAGCTGAGGCCCACGCGAGGCAGCCTCCCAGCCCAAAGAACTGGAGGGATGTGGGTAGCTGGTGGTAACGGCAGAGCCATCCATGGGAGCCATGAGAGGCCGTGCCCTACTGCCAGTAGCCACAGGAGGCCTTGAAGGCCATGCTGGCAGTTGGGAAGCTGTAGTTGCTGGATCCGGTTGTTGATACATCCAACACTACCTCCTCACCTCAGTGCAGCGGAGATCTGGATCCAGCCAGTAGGGATTGGGTTGGCCAGGGCCCGTCTAGCCTCTATTAGCAGGGATAAAACCTGGGGCGTGGGAGTTTTCCTGGGTCTTTGCTGGGCCATCTTTTGTAGTCTGCCTGGTGGAGAAATGCACTTTCCTTAGATGGGAGCACCACTGAGCTGACCTCCCCAGATGCAGCGCAGAGGCCTAGAGCCTGAGACCAAGCCCTCAGAGGGGGTGCTGGTAGTGTCTGGGTCAAAGCAGGCACAGCCTGCCCCGGTGGTGCTCCACTGCCCAACATGAACAGGCCCTAGGGCCTTTAGACTGTCACTTCCTGCTTCCCCAGGATTGAGGGGAGTTGATGAGGGCTGGTGGTCTCAGTCTTGGCCACACTCCCCAGCTCGGCCCACCCTAGATCTTTTCATCTGGTATCCACCTCTGTATTAGTCCTGAGGCTGCCCAGGTGGGGCACACACCTCCCATGCCCTCTCTGTAGCTTCAGAGTTTTTTTTTTCTTTCCTAGCCTGGTGTTTGGAAGGCTTCTTTTCTAGGCTCAGGAAAACCAGTGAGTAGGGTCAGCACAGCCAGTGTGGTTAGCAGCACCCATGTCAGAGATGAGTAGCTCTTCCAGCCCTGTGTCCTCTGAGGAGTCTCTCCCGGACCTTCTGCCCTGCCCTTGCCCTGCCCTGCCCTGCCCTGCCCCGCCCCTCCTCCACGGGGAAAGGACCATGAGCCCAGCTCTGCCCAGGTCTTTTTGCCTGGGGTTGCTGATGTCATTGGGTTTTTAGCTTCCTTCTCACCAGTGTTATCAGCTCCTTTGGGAACCATTCCTTATCAGCATTTTAATTAATTAATTAACTTTTATTTGAAAGTTTTTGTTGTTGTTGTTTTAACTGAGCAAGGAGCAGAGACAGAAAGATCTTGCATCCCTAAATGGTTCACTCCCTAAATTGCCACAGAGGCCAGAGCTGAGTTGATCTGAATGAACCAGGATCCTCTTCCAGCCCTCCCATGCAGGTGCGGGGTCTCGAGGCTTTGGGCCATCCTCTACTGCTTTCCCAGGCCACGAGCAGGGAGCTGGATGGAAAGTGGAATAGCCAGGACATGAATTAGTGTCTGTATGGAATGCTAGTGCCAAGTGCAGTGATGAGTCTTCTATAAAGGGTGAGAAAATGAACGGATGACTCTGACAAACCTCTTTGCTGTGTGTTCTTGGACACACTGAGATGCTCCCCACCCCCGGGGGCCTTTGCCCTGCCTCTTCTCTCAGCTGGAATGTTCCACCCCAGAAATCAGCAGGACCTACCTTCTTTTCTCCTGAAAACCACACCCTGGTCCCACCCTGACCTTGTTCAGTGCCCTTAACCCGGCCCTGTTTTTTCTTTCTCTCTCCTGGCACAGCCTGCTGTCTCCCATCTGCGTGTTACTGAGTTACTATGTTGTCACTGTTTCTCTCCTCCCACAAAACGATGGGCTGTTTGCTTCTGCCTCTCTAAACAGCTCTAGCCCTCAGGGTCATTGTTGTGGCAAAATGAGACCCACCTAGCAGGGTCACTGAGTGAAGAAATAAATGCAGGAACCACTGCTACCACTGGCTTGGGGAATTAGCCCTGCTCTAGAAAGGTTGGCATTTGGAGGAGCTGGTGGAGGGATGCAGAGGCGTGGATGCTGTGCGTTGTCAGGGGCTGGGTGTTGCCTGCTATGCCAGAGTTGGCGGGGGAGCTCTTGCTAGGACTTGGGCATGGTCTTCTCTGGCCTGGGGGCCTTGAACATGGTGCACAATTTCCCCTGCTGAGTGCCTCAGGAAGCGGTCTTTGGTCACCTGGAGTTTGCACACCCACCGCTCATTAAAGTTGAGTCATCAGTGCACTTCTGTGCTCTTAGAATCCTGGGAGTCAGCACAGCCCTGCATACTTGACCCTGGAGCTCAGGCGCAGGGTGTGAGAGCTGGCCCGCAGTTGGCCTGAGACATTCAGGAAAGTGCAGGCCGCATGCAAGAAGAAAAACCCCGTGGAAGCGAGGTGCTGCTGGAACGAGACCCTGTCAGGCTACCCAGAAGCTCCTGGGATTTGAACCTTGGCCCTCAAACCTCACCTAGAACTGTTTGTATTACTGGGTGTTGTTGTTAGATGGGTTTGTCCTCCACAGCCTGGAATCCTAGAACAAAGGTGCCTGGGCCACTCCCAGCCCAGTATCCCTTTTGCCTTCTTGGCCGATTCTCTCCCTTTGACCCTAAAGCAAATTCATGAATGAATTCTCCCTGTGGAGGTTGTGAACAGGGGTGCTCTGACCCCACTTTGCGCCTGCCTCCTCAGCCCTTGCCTGTGCCCAAAAACTTGCCCGGCCCAACCCCAACTTTCCAGGGCATTTTTGCCCCTCCCAGGCATGTCACTTGTCTTTAACCATCTTATCATTCCCCACCCAACGGATAACCCTCCAGACCACTGGCTGTGCAGAGGTGCTTGTAAACTGCACTCTGACCCAATAGGTGACCATGAACTTGGCACTATAAGTGAACTGGGGAGTCATTTTATAGGAAAGGAAAAAAATCCTAGAAATATGTTCATTAACCATCTCCCCCATATTTACATGTATGCCACACGGTTTTTTTTTTAAAGATTTATTTTTATTATTTTTTTATTGGAAAGGTGGATATACAGAGAAGAGAGACAGAGAGGAAGATCTTCCATCCGATGATTCGCTCCCCAAATGAGCGCAACGGCCGGTGCTATGCTGGTCCGAAGCCAGGAGCCTCTTCCGGGTCTCCCACACGGGTGCAGGGTCCCAAAGCTTTGGGCCATCCTTGACTGCTTTCCCGGGCCACAGGCAGGGAGCTGGAAGGGAAGCGGGGCTGCTGGGTCTAGAACCGGTGCCCATATGGGATCCTGGGTGTGCAAGGCGAGGACCTTAACCACTTGCGCCACCGTGCCAGGCCACACACGGGGTTTTATTTTTCCTACTAATTAACTTTGCTCCCAAAATAAACTTTGTAAAATTGAGGAAAACTGGGCCCTGTGCGGTGGCGCAGTGGTTTAAGGTCCTCGCCTTGCACGCCCGGGATCCCATATGGGCACCGGCTCCCCACTTGTGGGAAAGCAGTCGAGGACGGCCCAAAGCTTTGGGACCCTGCACCTGCGTGGGAGACCCGGAAGAGGCTCCTGGCTTCGGATCGGCATAGTATTGGCCGTTGTGCTCACATGGGGAGTGATTCATCGGCTGGAAGATCTTCCTCTCTGTATCTCTTCTCTGTATATCCGCCTTTCCAATAAAAAAATAGTAAAAATAAATCTTTAAAAAAAATTTTTAAAAACTTGAGGAAAACAAAACAAAAGACAAAACTAAAAGCACACTGCCTGATTTTGGCTTTCCCTTTTGGTTCCTGTCCTCTGA